TGTCTCCTGGGAGATGACTCTGAATCCTTGAATATTCTGCCTGATAAGAGTGCTTTTATATGCTTGAAGCCTTGGGCCACACAGTACCAATTGGATCAGATAGTTTATACTAAGAATGTGATTTAAAGTGAACATCTATTGTTGAATGCCTGAAGCCTTTGGCCATGCTGTATCAGTTTGATTAGTTTATGTTAACAATGTATTTATGATAACACCTTTTTTTGGTGTATGTGTGAGGAGGGTGTGTTAATGGAGTCTGAGTAGCTGAAGTTAGTCACACAGATGCTGCATGCCTACAAGACTAACCCCTCAAAAATCTTGGACACCAAGGCTCGTGTTATCTTTCTTGGTGGGCAACTCTTTGCATGTGTTTTCACACATTATTGCTGGAAGAATTAAGCATGTCCATATGTCCCCACTGGGAAAGGACACAGCAGCTTGGGCTTGGTTTCTAGACTTTATCCCATGCACTAGACTTTATCCCTCAGCCCTGCCTGTGTCCTCTTGCAGTCTGGGACCCCTCAGGGGATGTCTGCCTGCCATGGAGGTGGGAGAGCTTCCCGCCACCGCTGCTGTGCTCGCCAGCCATGAGCCCGGCTTCTGGCTGAGCTGCACTCCCGCTGTGGGAGTGCACTGACCACCAGGGAACAGCTCCTGCATCGACCATCTGGCCCCTGGTGGTCAGTGCGTATCACAGCAACTGGTCATTCCACCATTCAGTCGATTTGCATATTAGGGTTTTACTATATAGGATGTTTTGTCAAAGTTAAATGTGCAAAGCCCTGGGCCTCCATAATTTCATTCCAATATATGAAAATTAATCAATGTAATTCACTGTATTAAGATAATAAAGAACAAAAACCACATGAATATCAGAATGCAGAAAAAATTTTTACAAAATCCAAACACTTTCATAATAAAAATACTCAATGAACTGGAAATAAAAGGCAACTTTCTTGAACTGATAAAGTACATACAGAGTAGGGCAAAAGTAGGTTTATAGTTGTAAGTACATGAAATAGAATATATTCTTGTATTATTATTTATTAATTGTTGGATTATTTTCCATATGAACAACTGTAAACCTATTTGCCCCACCCTGTATATGAGAATTCTACGACATAATTATAAAATGAATCATGGAGTTACCATATAACCCAGCAATCCCACTCCTAGGTATAAATCCCAGAGAACAAAAATATATGTCCACACAAAAACTTATAGACCATTCTAGCTCTTCATGTAAAGAGCTTGGAAGTCACCTCTGTATCCTAACAGGTTACAAACTGAACAGTCTGAAAAAATTGACAACTCTTCTTAGATACACAACAGAGGGGAAGTAACAGGGCAAACTGGTGATATTGTGAATTCAACTGTCTTTATAACTCATTAGCCCATACTTTTAAATGTGTTTCATTCACATAGATATCTGCTCTACAGTTAAATAAATAAAATGAGAGCTTACTTTATTTAGCACTTTAATGGGAGTTTTTGAATTCTCAGACCATGACTTGAACTGAAATTTGAGATCTGAGTTTGCCATTTCTCTTCATAAATTCTTAAGGGCACTGAAAAGATTCCAGCCAACACCAGAGTCCTTATAGTCAACATTACTACCAATGTGCAGCAGCCGCTTGGGCTTTCAAGATACATGCTTCAATTGACACTTCATCTCAATAAACATGGTGATAACTTGATGAATTGTGAAGCAACTGCATGCCAAGAATTACTATCCATTTCCATTGGCAAAGAGCTCAGCACTTGGCTCAAGATTAAAAGCATAACAAAACCAATCCTAAAATCCCATCTTTATGAGTATACTAATGACCCAGTGCACGGATTTATGCACATTGAAAGGAAATTAATGAGAAGGTGGCTGGTGGGACAGGACTGGGTGAGACAGGCCAGACACACCCTGGAGCCAACCTCCCAGAGTTCCTCCGCAGCCAGCTGCACCTGGGGTGGCATTGTGGCTCAAAGGGCATCTGCAGAGTGAGCAGGGTCCCTCTGGCAGGTGGGGTCCCTCGGCCTGGCCTGTGGGGATCAGGCCAAAGACAACTCTCCAACATACCCCAAGGGGTCCCAGAGTGCAAGAGGGCACTCTACAAAGTTGCTTACAGGGTGTGGAATGCAAACGCAAGTGTGCCAGCAAACCAGATTCTGGGCCGACAGTGCCCTAACAACAACATAACCCATGGCCGAAGGTGGAATCGTGTGGCCCTGCGAGGAATCGCACTCCCTCCTCTCTGGTTTTGGGGTGAGTCACCCGAGAACCGCTGCTGCCAAGTCACTGCAGCTTGGCAGCTCCTGCATTGAGCATCTGCCCCATGGTGGTCAGTGCGCATCATAAGTACTGGTCAGATGAACACTTAGCATATTATCCTTTTATATATATACTAGAGGCCCGGTGCACAAAAATTTGTGCACTGGCGGGGGGGGGGGGGCCCTCAGCCCCACTTGTGCCCTCTCACAATCTGGGACCCCTCGGGAGATAAGGACCTGCTGGCTTAGGCCCTCTTCCGGGTGGCAGAGGGCAGGCCCAATCCCTAGGTGCAGCCCCCGGTCAGGCTCAGAGCAGGGCCGATTGGGGAGTTGGGGCGCCGCCCCCTGTCATGCACAGAGCACGGCAGATTGGGAGGTTGCGATGCCACCTCCAGTCACACTCAGGGTAGGGCCGATTGGGGGATTTAACGGCCATCTTTGTTGGGTTAATTTGCATACTCTTCTGATTGGCTGATGGGCTTAGCGAAGGTATGGTCAATTAGCATCTTTGTCTTTTATTAGTGTAGATTTATGGGACTAACCCCTGAAACCAATTCCATAATAGTCTGAATCCACACAGTAATTTGAACAAGGACAGTTTGCTATAAAGAATTATTAACTGTAACAGAGGATTAAAGTAACAAGGAATTAGCTATTCAGAAGTAAAGAGAATGCCAAAGAATATAGAAATATGTAGTCTAAGCAACAACCATTTACCCTAGGACTGACATGGAGCACTCCAGGGCTAAAATCCAGACCTTGTTGAAGAGAACACAACAAATTTTTGGCAAATTCAATCCAGCAACATATACAAAAGATATTAATTTAGTAATAAGGGTTTACTCCAGGAATGCAAGGTTAGTTAAATATAAAAAAATAAAAGAATGCAATATATAATATTAATAAAATAAATAAGAAAAATCATATAACCGTCTCAGAAGACACAGGGGAAAAAAACTTGATAAAATTAAAAACCAATTCATGATAAAATTTCTTAACCAGCTAAGAATAAAAGGTAACATCCTCAAATTAATAAGGGGCATCTCCAAAAAACTTACAGTTAACATATTTAATTGAGAAAGGCTAAATTATTTCTACCTAAAAACAGAAAGAAAAAAAACCCTTCTCTTTTCAAATTTCTATCCAACATTGTATTGGAGGTCTTAACCAGTGTAACAAAACATACAGATTGGAAAGAAAGAAATAAAACTGTCCTGACTCACAGGTGACATGATCATGTATGTAAAACATTCTAAGAAAATAAGTTAATTTACCAAGGTTGAAGGATACAAAACCTACATAAGAAAAGAGATATACCATGATCAGGCATGAAAACACTCAATAGTGTTAAGATGTCAATTTTCTGCAAATCTATAGAATCAAAGAAATCCCAATTAAAATCCCAAAAAGTTTTTATAGAAATCAACACGTGGAAAAGGCCAAAGTATCTAGAATAGCCAAAACAACTTTTTACAAATATCCTTTCAAAATTCTCACTCAGGTATTTAAAGACCTTTATAATATGGCTACAGTTTGTATTTTCCTTCTCTTTTATTTATTTATGTATTCGATAAATATTTATCGAGTGTCTTTACTGCCTCAGTCACTATATTAGTTCTGGGGGAGGGGTTGAGACAATAAAGAAAATAAGTATAATTATCCTTTTTGGTGCTTAGGTAAAACCATCATCCAGCCAAATCAGTCACTCACCATTCTGAAACAAGGCTTTCCTGTATCTGAGTATTTATTCATCAAAACATTACATTCATTCATTCATTAATTCAATAAATACTCCTTAATTACATTCCCAGCTATCAGAACTCTACCTGTTTATCAAGGCATAATTCAAATGCCTATTCCTCAGAGAAACTTCTTTGATGATATCAAGAAAAAAACACTAATGACTATTTATTTGCTCCTCTCATATGATTCTAAGCACATTTAGACTTTTTTTTATTACACTTATTTCGACATAGCATCTTAGAACAAAAAAGATACCATGTTTAGCAAACTCCAAGACCATCAGGATATACAGACTAGTAAAGAACGTAGGTGCAAAGGGAGTGGTGAGGGCCTTGGCCACGTAGGGAATGCATGCCCTTCTAAAGGCATTCAAATCCACATTCTTCTTCAAACTGTGTGGGCAAAGATGAACACCTTTGAGTTGCGGCTGGTTCTCTCATATAGATTGTTTGAAGCCCGACTCTACCTCCTGTATTCACACCCGAGGAAACAAGATCCAGGAAGGAAATGGCTTGGCCCATGTGTCTCAAAATTGTGGTCAGAAGCAGAAACAACCTGGCAGTCACAGGTCTTGTTTTCAACTTTATTTAATCCCCCAAGTAATTCAACCCTGAGCTTCTCAGGGTTGGTGACCAAACAACAGTAATGACTCAACACTACTCTCTCCAGGTGGCTCTCTGGAGGCCAGACCCCTATCACCCATACTGTGAGAGGTAACTGTGCCAATAAGGTGTTTGAGGACAGGAGCCCAAACCCATGGTGGCAGCCCATTTAACCAGCTTTTATCCTAGTCATACCTTTCCAGTATTAGAGAGGGCAGCTGCCTCAAACTGGACCACCTGGCCCCTCTCCTGCCTCCCCCACTTAGATAACACTGAGCGCCCCCTGCTGCCC